CCCAGGGCCGCAGGAGGCAGGCGCCCGCCTGGGCTAGTGCGGACATCGTGGACCTCATCCACAACGTCCGCACTAGGCACAGGAAAGTGGCTGGCTAGGGCAGGAGAGCTGGCAGCCTGGCCACCCAGGAGCAGGTTTGCATGAAAATCAGGGTGGTCCAGTGAGACCCCCAACCCTGAGCCCTGAGATTAGAACATAAGAATGGCCGTACTCCGTCTGACCAAAGGTCCATCTAGCCCAGTAGCCTGTCTGCCGACAGTGGCCAGCGCCATTGGTCTCGTGCCATCCATCTCCAGCCTTCCACAAACAGAGGCCAGGGACACCATTTCTATCCCCTGGCTAATAGCACTCCATGGACCCAACCTCCATGACTTGATCTCACTTCTCTTTAAACTCTGTTATAGTTCTAGCCTTCACAGCCTCCTGCAGCAAGGAGTTCCACAGGTTGATTATTTGCTTTGTGAAGAAGAACTTTCTGTTATTAGTTTGAAGCCTGCTACCCATTCATTTCATTTGGTGTCCTCTAGTCCTTCTATTATGGGAACTAATGAAGAACTTTTCTTTATTCACCCTCTCCACACCCCTCATGCTTTTATAGATCTCTATCATATCCCCCCTCAGTCTCCTCTTTTCTAAGCTGAAAAGTCCCAGTCTCTTTAGCCCAGTGGTCTCCAACCTTTTTACACCGAAGATCACTTTTTAAGTTTCAGAACAGGCGAAGATCTACCGCCCCTTCCTGGAAGCCCCGCCCTCTCTATTCTCCTGTCCATCACTTGCTATCCCCAGCCCTTATACATGCTGTTAAGAAGTTTATTTTTAAATTATGCAATATATAAAATTAAAATCACATGTTTATAGTTATGAAATAAATGGTCTGTTTTTAATTCATGCTATTTAAATGTCAAACGATGAAGCATTTACATTTATACATTTTGTTCTCTGCTATTTTGTAAATCTAAAATCAAGTATTGATAATTATATATTTTTTCTTCCAATAACAAAGTCTCAGTGTGACACCTGTGACTGAACAGTATCTGCCAGTGTCTTGAAGT